CGTTCACACCACCAAATGGAACTTGTGGATCGACATGTTTGGCAGAACACATAATTCTATTGAGTTTCCCTAATAAAGTTAAGCCAACCATACTCATTTCATCAATTAACAGATATTCAACAGGTCTCCATTCGTTTTCAAGTTTGGAGTCACCTGGCTTGATAGTACGTGGCTTTCGTGAATTACGTTGTTCGCCTAAAAATGAATGAATTGTCATGCCGTCAATTTCAGCAGCTGAAATTCCAGTAGGTGCGAGTTTTCGCATCATTTGCATTCTTTTTGTAATGAGAAAATATTTTGTAAGAGCACGAATCAGTTGTGATTTGCCCGTTCCACCACAACCAGGTATACACATAATGAGTTGACCATTATTGTCCCCTAAAATAGATTTTTGAATGAAAGAAATAATGATTTATTTCATGAAAATACCTGTACGACATCGACTATCACCATCGAGATGATTTGTTATTATTAAGAATGCAGCTTTTTGTTCTTTGTTCAATGTAAATTCAGCAATGATGCTAGTTTGAGTTGAGTAATTGTTTTTAACTACGAGCACTGGAGGAATTGATGTCTTTTTTTCGAAATTATTCCGATTATCATATGGATTGACTACAGTTACAACGGCGTTAGTTACATCATCAAAATGCAATATATCATCATCATTGTTATCTTTGCCCGAAATCAAACTGCGTCTAATTCGTTCTTTTTCAATCTTCAATTGATCTTGCCATTTTAAATTAAGTTTAATTAGATTAGACGTTGCAGGAATGAACGGTACAATTTGTCGATCAATACCTGTAATTGAAACATGTTGATCTGGTTCTAGAAGAATTTTTTTAATGGTATGAGTCATAAAACAATTAACACTTACGATTCTTGTGATTGAAACGTCCAACTTTTTCGACAGCTTCAACAGTTTCTCGAATATACACATTTTCTGTTGATTTTTTTGTGGCATTAATTGCAGCAGCTGTAAATTCATCTACGCTGCCTATTAGTTGAATCAAATCGTCGATATCATCTACTTCATATTCACCATCAACACCTTGATTCGATGGTACCAATGTAGGTTCAATCGAATCGTTATCGACTTGGGCTTCGGCAATAACTTTAAGTAAATGTTCATCACGATCTTTTTTACATTCATGTAAAAGTTGAATATTTTCTATAATCTTCCATGAATGAGCAGAAATAAGAAATTTTCGAGATTCGAATGNTAGACGTTGCAGAAACAAAAGGTACAATTTGTCGATCATTGCCCGTATTTGAAACATGTTGAGTTTGTTCTAAAACAATTTTTTTCTGAATGGTATGAGTCATAAAACAATTAACACTTACGATTCTTGTGATTGAAACGTCCAACTTTTTCGACAGCTTCAACAGTTTCTCGAATATACACATTTTCTGTTGATTTTTTTGTGGCATTAATTGCAGCAGCAGTAAATTCATCTACGCTGCCTATTAGTTGAATCAAATCGTCGATATCATCTACTTCATATTCACCATCAACACCTTGATTCGATGGTAATAATGTAGGCTCAATCGTATCGTTATCGACTTGTGCTTCGGCAATAACTCTAACTAAATGTTCATTACGATCTTGTTTACATTCATGTAAAAGTTGAATATTTTCTATAATCTTCCATGAATGAACAGAAATAAGATATTTTCGACGGATTGACGGAAAATGTCGAAAAAAAAGCAGGAAAATATCGAAAGGAGTTTTGAGCGAAGGTTGTCGGTTCAAGAAGGAAAATGTCGAAAAAAATGAACTTCAGATAGGAAAGATGTCTGTACATGCCGTCCTTTTGTTTTCTCAACTGCTATTGGCTCTCGATATTACGTTTAGTTTCATCGGTTGCAAAGAGTACAGTTATTTCTTTTAGATCCTCGCTTTATTGTTGTCAGAGTTTAATCGTATTCACTGCACGGACTGATCTGAAAAGTTCAGCAAGTGTATGTATGTCCTTTGTTTTCTATAAAAATCACTGCCTCGATCTCGCGGACTATAATATCCAATGAACATGTCCTTTGTTCATTATAAAAAGTAATCATCTAGATTTCGCGGACTGTACTAATCTCTACTTACGACATGCTTTGTGTTGTACAGTATTTAATGTCGTCGCTTTTTCTATTTTTAGCCATTCATGTTATATTTTTGATTCCAAGCTGTTATCGACATGCCATCGACAGAAAACAGTCCGTCCAGTTCGATGTCACCATCTAATCATCCAAGCATCTCGTTTGTAACTTCTAATAAAGGGAAACGATTGCTTTCGTTTGGTGAGTATCTATTCAAGTGTAACAAGACAACGCTGTCAAAACAATATTGGGTTTGTATTGAACATGGATGTGGCGTATTCATTCATACAAACCTAAACAATGAATTTTTATTGATTACTGGTGATCATAATCATGTTGCTCGTCCAGACATTCTGGAAATGAAAGTGTTGCGAGAAAAAATGAAAAATCGTATTTTAAATGAATCAACTTCTATTACAAAGATTTACGATGAAGAAGTTACCAAAGCTGCATTAGCTGAATCGATTGCTGCTCAGTTTCCAACTGTCGTCGAATATCGTAAGTGTCTTTACAGTAAAAAACGTGTGAAATTTCAAATTGGGTTTCTTATTATTAGGATCAAATATGAGTAAAGCTCGACGAAAAACAACTCCCGTCATTCCTTAATCATGCGTATTTGAAATTCCAGAATCATACCAAAAAACATTGTCAAACAAACAATTTTTGTTGATGGATTTCTATATGAAGCGTTCAAAAGAACGCGTAATTGTGTACGCAACTTCTCAACAACTGCGATTGTTATGCAGTAGTGCGACAATATTTATGGATGAAACATTCGGTGTTACTCCTGATGGCTTCGAACAAGTATTTTTAATTCACGTTCAGCATCTTGGTCAAAGTATATTGATTGTGTTACTGAAGCAGTTGCTATGTTTCTTTCAATCTATCATAAGGTTTGCCGGTGGCGTTTTGTTTGATGTCTAATCGACGAGCGTCGACGTACGTTGAATTATTCCAACGACTCAAACAAGAAGCAGAAGCATTAGACATGGAATTTCAACCGAAGCAAGTTGTGTCGGACTTCGAAGCAGCTTTGATACCAGCGGTTCGACAAGAGGTGAGTAATTTTTCTCTTCTATAATATGATATTAATATGGTTTATGTTCTTGTTTATTTTAGTTTCCTGGTGCACTTCATTCCGCTTGTCTGTTTCATTTTATGCAAAGCATCCATCGGAAGATAATTAGCCTGGGACTAAATCATGATTACACAAAATGCGCTGAAACACGAGACCAGTGCAAGCAGCTTATCGCTTTATGTTTGATGCCAATACAAGAAGTTGAATCTCAATTCAAGCGGCTTCGCAATGTAGCATCGGAATCATTGGATGATATTTTTATATATTTTGAACGTCAATGGATCAGTGGAAGAATTCCACTGAATATGTGGAAATTTCATGATCTCAATCACAGAACCAATAACATCTCAGAAGTTAATTAAAATATTTGATAAAAGGTAAAACGAACTTCTATATGGCGTTATCTTATTAGCATACAATCGTCGTTTCGGCTCACGCATTTTGAAAAAACACCCAAATGTATGGTCCTTTATACATCTGATTCAAAGCAAAAACGCCCGCTTCGAACATTTACTAGTTCAACTCAGTGCTGGTGCTAATGCATCAAAAGAATCGGCTCGAACAACAGCTTTTCAGCGACGATTCGAAAATCTTAAAACAAGATTTCAAAATGGCGAAATCAAGGCAAAAGAACTGCTAAAAGGCTATGGTTTACTGATAAATGGACGTAAAAGTTAATGATTTGTGATGTGCGATTTTTTCCTGCTGTGTTAGTTATTTTTATCGAATAAAGTTAAATAATCTTCTCGTAATAAAATAAGAGAAATGCGTCGTTTTTTCGATATTTTCCTTTTCGACATTTAACACCAAACCCATTGACATGACCTAGGGCAGAGGTATTCGACGAAAAAAAAGCATTACGAAAAGGTTCGAAACATACATGGGTAGACTCCATTTTTGATGAGGATTCCAAATATATAAAAAACAATAGACTAAAATGCAAATTTTTGGAAACCCAGCTTGTTTTTTCAAAGATTAGTTCCAAAATTACCTTCGAGTTTGCAACTTAAGAGACTTTTTGCCAATGAAAAGATGCCCCTTTATTTTGGCTATCGAACGCCGAAAACCGCAAGTCTCAATCTTGTTCCTAGCAAAAGTTACTCAAAAAATAGCCACACGCACGGATTTTTTGGACAGACATTAGAACTCGGTAAGGTCTATCGATATACTATCCTAGATACTATATTAGAGTAAGTTAGTATAGTAAAACTTATGAATGAATGATTTTCTTACTAACGAAGACTTTAAATGAGTCATAACGATTTTGCACCTTTGCATAAGTCACAGAGAAACAGGTCAAAAAATCAAGAAACCTCACTATATTTCACAGTACAACAAGAAATTCTTTTTTCATGCACTTGATATTACTATTCAAGATGAGAAACGAAGAAAATCTCGGATTTTCAGAGTTTCGTCTTCAACTTACTCGAGAACTCATTGAAGATTATGGGTCAATACGATTTACTGTTCGCTATTTCGATACTTTCATTGTTCAGATCATGATATTCATATTTTTGGTGAATCTAACAAAGTAAATCAGTTTCAAAAAGTTTAATCTTTATAATTTTTTCTGAAAATAAGCCAGTCGTGAAAAGATTAATAAAGAAGTTGTCAACAAAATCTAGTTTAGATAATTTTTATTTGAGAATGAAAACAACATGAATTAGAGGCTTCTATAAATAATGTTTGACGTGAAAATGCTGAAAACTTATGTAGAATTAAAAACATCCTTAGCATTTTTATCTCCGTAAATTGTTGTTTGTTCTGATTAAAATTATTGGTTGAATGGTATTCACATGAGTTTGTGTTCTTTGATATAAAATGCTTATCAAACTGAAATATTTCTTAAATTCTCTGCGAAATAATGTTGAAGTTAAGCAATGAACATAGAAGTTTATCTAAATAGAATCAAATTAGTTTCATTTGTCTAATACCCTAGACTTACTGAATAATTAATACCCAAAACCCAACTTAAAATTACAGTTAAATTTGTGAAAAATCGAATATCTAAACCAATGGAACTTGACAGTGTCCGCCAATATAGAAAACGATATATACCAATCTGCACAGTCGTAATGAAAAATATGATAACATTTGACAGCATGATAATGAATAATTGATTTTGCAAACGATTGTTATGCCTAACTGTTTGATTTCGATTTTGATTATTGATGTGTTGATGTACAATCCTTTTTTGAAGACGTATCTTGATAAACATATCAACAATAAAAACTAATATTAATCCAGCAGGTACAAGACAACTGATCGATAACTATTTATCAAATGAAATTATTAACAAATGATCGATATGAAAAGTATCTTACCTGTACAACAGGCCAGGTTTCATAATAAAAATTGAAAAAATCGTCTCCTGCAATACGCAATGGCATACAATTTATCAATGGTATCTGTAGATAAAACGGTTGATACAATGATGTTAAGAACATGGCATGAAGACCTATTGTGGTACTTAATAGAATAGCTAGAACTATTAAAGCTTTCTTTTGAGTGCAAATAGCAGTTGATTTGTATGGAAATCGTGTTCGAATCCATCGATCCATTGCAATAAAGACAAGAATCCACGCTGAACAAAATTGACTTGTACCCATAAGAAATTCACGCCAACGGCATGTATAAATAAAGTCACTAATTATATCCAAATCCAATCGTAAACCATAATGAATAAAATCAAAAGTTAATGAAGATAAGAAACATATATCTGAGATAGCTAATACCATGTATAATATACCAGTTGAACTGGCTCTTAGTGTTGGTCGAGCAAATGTAAGTAGACTAGCACTATTCCCAGTATAACCAAGAATAAATAAACTTAGATAACCCCACAAATAAAATTTCATAGCAAGAGATGGATAGAAATAATCATCGAGGATGCTTTGGTCGCGGGATTCAATGAGCATACCAGATGCAGTTTCCATATTGTTGCTAAATAATCTATGTTGATTAATAACAGAATATAACAACAAAAGACTTCACTACACGTATATTTATATAGTGTTTGGTGTATTCTTTTCTTCGAGTTTCGAATACGTATAACTCTATCAGATTACAGTATGGGAGTATAAAAAAATATTTTCCAAGCTCAATTTTGCGTGAGCGATGGGGTAACGAAGAAAAGTACTTATTAATTACTACTATAAAATTAAATTTTTCTTGACGATCATAAAACCTCTCTTAATGATTAGAATATGTTGAGTATTGCATCTAGTGTGACGCACATTCTTCCTGAGTTTTCTTCTTAACGTTCTTTTCATACAAGCATGTCATAGTTATGGCATAAATACAGATTAAAATGTTAGGGAAAAGTGACAATATATTTTTCCAGATTATCATTTCTTTCGTTATTAAAATTTTTAATGAAAGTTCAAATTTTGAGATTGAGGGTATCCTGTCAATTAGGAAAAGACTTCTAGTTGTTTTCATATTTATAGGTCAGATATTATTCCCTTTTCTGAAAGAAAGGGTTATAGCGTCATAAATGACGCCACTAAAATGCAATAAGTGTGTTTGTTTGTTTGCATAATCCAATCAGATTGCAGCATTCCATAAATCAATGAAAACTTAACCAACCTCATTAGAAAATGACTGATGACAGGTAATCGGGGTCGAGGATCACGAATCCGAGGTTAGTGTTGCTTAATTAATTATTAGTTTTCCATTAACTAGCCACGACTTATTAAAATCCATTTCCAGAGTAGACTGAAGGATTTCTGACGTCGGGAAATTCGAATTAGAGGGTGAATTTCGTTTTATTCGCTGAGCCTGGACTTGTGCCTTCCTCTTTACAAAGGAGATATTTTTCTTTATCTGTTCTAAAATCTATTGTTGAAGATGGTGAGCCGAACACTATTCATGGACGTCATGCGTACAAAGATAGTAGGTCAAGAACTTACACGAAAAGATCTAATGCATTGTACATAATGATGTTTCTAATTGAAGCAATCCGAAAAAGTGATATGAGCTTACGTTAGTACCATCTCTGCTTTGTAGGCTACATACATCATGTCTTTTTATGGGAATTTAGTAAAAGTAGTTCGCAAAGTGATATACCCGTCGGTGGAATTCCATCTTAGTAACTACAGACACGTGGACTGTAGAAACAGTATTGTGAACACATGCAGCGCTATGAAAGATGTTCGTTTCGAAGCAAATCATACAATAAGACTTTCTTATCTAGTTTCTTTGGATAGTCGAATGAATAGAAGATCATGACTGTCGAAGTGACAATAAAAGAAAATCCAATCGTTCAGTTTGAAAGTTGATCAAAAGCGAAATGAATAGCAGAGACAGCATGGCAACGGCTAGCCGTGAGTGACCGACCGGAGGGAGGTCGACGAACGACTAGGCGTTTAAATGCTAGATCAATCCTAAATGTACGCTTAGAATAACCTTGCCAGGCTTCAGATAATTTTGAAAGGGATTTGACGAATGGATATTCCTTAATGAAAATATTCGACAGGGTACCATTTTGTTGACAGGAGAGAAAAGAATCGGTTTATCGCTAGAAGACACAAGCGAATGTTCAAACCTTTCAAGTAGTCTATTGTATATCATCCGTCTATGAGTGACTTAGTAGAGCATTTATGAAAATTTCCATGCGCGTGATGTGAAAAAAGAAAAACAGATGGCAAAGGTCAATGGTTGGTCGTGAGTGGCCGTCTGACTAGCCGTTGAGCGATGAATTTTTCAGTCAACATAGTTAGTACTGGAGAATTATCCAGGTCTGATCCTTAAAAAGACTTTTGCATCCTATTCATTCTAGTGTGTGACATAATGCCATGATTCAGCGGAGCACTAGCAGCAATCGCAGTGCGTTTTTTTCTCTTTCAAAGTCTCTGAATGTGTTCACCATTCGGAAAAGTCTTTCAGAAAAGGGTCAGCGAATCCAAAGGATGAGCGATACTTGTATGTATGAGACAAAAATATTTGGCCTTTCTTCTCTTTCGTAATTCATATGAGAATATTAATAGATTATTCTGTATGATTCTGAACAATACCACACTGAAAGACAACAAGAGGAGACAGCTTGTCTTATCATATGATTTTATTTTAATAATGATCGTTTTGACATGTTTTCTAAACAGCGACAGATAACAAAATACTGAAATAATTCGTGAGTTCAAATGTTCTCTATTACAAATATGACGAAAAAAAATGTAAGGTAGCTGAAACGGTGTGAATGTGATATAGATGTATGTAGTATTATCGCTCCAAAATAACTCGATTTTATATAACAACATCTTCCTATCTTAAACTGCTATCTTGAGGGTGTGTGTTAGATTTTAATTTAAAAGATATAATGACTGCAACATCGAAGGTAAAACGAGCTCAGTAGGATAAACGAAGACATAACAAAATTAAAAATAAAAGATCTCTCGATAAAACGTTTGATAAAGAATATAAACAAAAACAAGCTCTGAGACAAAGAAAACGTCGTGATAAGTTAAAGCAACAACAGCAAAATACAGCAACACCTACTCTTTCATCAGGAACAGGTTTAACAACAACGAAAAGTGATTTACGAAAGAAAGAAGGCCTACAAAGAAGAAGATCAAATACTTCAAAATTGAAAAAAGAAAATGCCGACCTACGTGCAAGTATTCGCCATTTAACGATCGAAAACAACAAGCTCAAACTTTCTCGACAACAAACACCTCCACGTCCATCACCAACCGAAATCTTACTAGATAATATCAGCCCATCGTCAAAGAAACGTGGTATTTTACGTATCAAAGATCAGAAGGAATATCTGCCACGTGGTTCTGCAAGAGATTTTCGGAAAAAATTGGGAGTCAATTTATCTAATTCTAATGCACCAAAGAAAACAACACCATCCATACTTCGAAATGCCATTGAACAATTTCTTCTTCAAGATCATATTTCAAAGTTATGTCCTGACAAGAATAAAGTAGTTGGTGATCATCAGGTTCGTTATCGTCTCAATCATCTTTCAACATTGCATCAGACGTTTGAATACGAGACAGATATCGTTGTTGACTATGTTACATTTACTCGTTACGTGCCAGATTATATTCAGAAACCTACTCATGAGAATTGGGGAACATGTTTGTGTGTAGTCTGTTTAAATCCACAAATGAAATTTGAAAAACTGAAACAATTAAAACAGAAACATCCTTCTATTCAACCTGTCATTCATGATACACCACTTGATTTATCAGAATTAGTGAAAGACGAAAACGAATTGGAGAAATTCAAACGTAAATTAATGAAACTAAACGACGAAAAATTAAACATAACTTACAGTGAATGGCAAAAAATAAAAAAACCAGATTGTGTGGCGCTGGTGTCAACAAAAGTAACACTGACTGTTTCAATGGAGGATCTTTTGGAAAAATTTATGATTGAAATTGATATACGTGTCTGATTAAAAAATTTTCTCGATCATGAAGTTCAGTTCTACTTTTGCATGAAGTTAGGTTTTGAAAGAGCATGTGTATAGAATACGAGAACAATTTAGAGCTGCCAATTCAGCAAAAACAAGAGCAAAGGAAGAAGATAACGTTGCAACAATTCAACTGGATTGGAGCGAGAATTATAACATGAAACAGGCGAGAGAAGAAAAAGGTAAGAATTTATATGCTGTTTTCGAGAATAACTTCACTTAGCTACAAGCGGTGAAGACTTTTCTCAGTCAACCTCTTAAACTATATGTTCGAAAATTTCTTCGTACTGTTTCTTTTCTGATTCATCTAGGTGCATATTATTTTGAGCAACACATTGCTCTCTTAACTGGTTATGTTTGGTTAAAGGGTGGCTCATTCAGTTTTGGTTGTGTTAGTGATGATACAAATCACATGTCTGAAGCTACATGGGCATCAACAAATGATTTACTCCAAGAGCTAGTTCACGAAAAAGAAATCACAATAATTAATATGATCTCGGACAGTCCTGTTTCACAATTTAGAAATAAGACAACCATCTATTTGATGAAACAATTCGCTATGAAGGAACAAGTTGATCTCAAGTGGATTTTCCTAGAGGCTGGACATGGTAAAGGAGTTGCAGATGCTGTTGGAGCTGCTTTAAAAATAAATTTTGATGAAGTAATATCCTACAAGCCTGATGATTCATTTAAAAATGCGATGGATTTATTAGATGCAGTTGAAAATTCATCTAACATTAAATTATTTATCTATGATAAATCAGATATTAAAACGCTGAAGAAATCAATACCAAAACTTGTTACAGTCAAAGGAACAGCTGAGTTTCATGAGATTATAGCAACAAAAGATGGGGCGCTTTATGCTAAAAACGTATCCAGTGCAAAAGAAAAGCAATTGAAAGCGCAGTTTTGAATTCCGTGATAAGGATGTTTACTTAGCAAAGATGTCGACTCTTTCCAGATATCGATGCTTGTGGCGTACATTCCTTTTTTTTTTATCTATTTCAAAATAAACAAGAAGAAACAGTGAAAAAGACTTCTCTTAATAGCTTTTAGATTGATATGAGAGATTACAAGTGAAGAAATCAAATTGTGAATCATTACGAATGAAATTAAAAATCTATTCAAACTTTGACACCTATGTCCACAAGGTATCCAGGATGAGAACAAAGGTTTTATGTATACTGAGTCGCTATAAATACACTCAAACCACTCGTCTGGGTTGAGATATATAGGTTTGACAGAGTTATCGATTCATGTGTAATATGTGCGTCTTTGCTTTAATGTCAAAGCATTTCTATACATTAGACGTTACACGTAAAACTCGGACTTTAGGGCATTGACTATCTCGGTCCGTTTGCATCTGGTAGTTGGGAAATTTTTATTGGATACTCAGAAAATGATGGAGAACAATATGTAAGTGTCAGATTCTCTCTAAACTCACTTTCATTTTTTTTCGTCAATTGTACAATAAAGTTGCAATTCACTCATATATAGGAGATAACAATGGTCAGCTCATCATGTGTATACCCGGATGTGGTGGTACAGGAAAATCCCAATTTATCCGTGCTGTTACTAAATATTTTGTTATTACAAACAGAGTACAAAAGATGCGAAAGCTAGCACCTACTGGAATTGCAGCCGCTGAAATTGGTGGTATGACTATCCATTCATTCTTAGGTGAACAACGCAATTCTGGAAAGCCACGAACTATTAAACCAGGNCCGAGTGTGTTTTTACTTTTTCGTAATCAACTCTTCTATATAGCCCTCCTCTCAGGCGCGGATGAAATGTTTTCTTCATTTCTGTCACATCCCTGCCCCGTCACCCCGCCTCCAGCCAACCTCGCGGCTCAGCATTCCTCCAAAATCATGTTTTACGAAGTTTTGAGCCTTTTTCACGAAAATGTTTTTTTGACCTTTGACCCTTGACCCCGACCCTCACCCCCTCCCCTCAACCAAGATCTAACCTCAACACACCTTCCAAACGATGTTTTATGAAGTTTTGAGCATTTTCAAAAAAAATGTTTTTATGACCTTTGACCTTTGACCCTGACACAAACAAACAGACAAACAGACAAACAAACTTTTTTTTCATATGACCCTCCTTTCAGTCGAGGGAATATCGAGATAGTGGTCGTCTTTCATCAACAACATTATTTATCAGTGGTGATGTAGCTAATCTATATACAATGATACCTCGAGATGGAGCAATACTTGCTTTACAGAAATTCTTAAATAAATATACTCAAAATCACCGAATTACTGGAATGACAATTGATACTATAACAAAACTGGCTCGTTTAGTTTTGGATACAAATTGTTTTGTATTTGAAGATAAATATTATTTACAAATTCGTGGTGAAGCTATGGGATCACCATTTACAATGACATTAGCAAATATCTATATGTTTGAATGGGAACAATCATTAATTGAATATCAAAAGGCACACAATGAAATCTATGACCGGTAAATTATTTTCGAAAGAAAACAAACTTTTCTTTAGTTGCTATATTTTTTTCTTTCAATACTTTCCTACAAAGATATATTGATGATTTCTTTATGAAGACGAATTCGTTATCTGATCTTAAAGTTCAATTAAATATTATCGAGACAAAAGATGCAAATACTCGAATTACTACAACAACTAGTTCAAAAATAGAATTTCTTGATGTACTAGTTGAAAATAATCATGGACAACTAAGAACTTCAGTATTTCATAAACCAACAGCTGAACCCTATATTATACCAGTTTTATCAGATCATCCACGTCATGTTCATCGTAATACAATCAAGGGACAATTAATTCGAGCAGCACGTCTCTGTTCTCATCTCGAAGATTTTAACAAAGAAAGATTGAATATTGAATTTACTTTACTATTAAATGGCTATCCATCAAGATTCATTTCTTATCATTTTAAAAAATTCTTTCAACAAAATAATATTTCACTCTTAATGGAAGAACCAGATCAAACCATATATCAAAGTTTTCACCGACATCTAATAAATAAACCAACACGAAGAGAACATCAAATGCAACAACGACCATCAAATATAAATCAATGTCAATATACAAATAAGAAAGCGATTCGTGTACATTATACTTTCGAAACGAGTCCAATTTTGAAGTTCAGCGATGAATTACGAAGTCTACGGAAACAACACTACCAAGATAATCATCCACTTATGAAACATGTCGCTTTACATATAGGTACAACCTCCAATAGAAATCTAAATCAATTATTGGTCAAAAAGAAACCGCCTCAAGCAAAGTTAATCCAAGTTTCACGCAATACCGCAACAACAGCACAGGATTAACGATCATACAGTTTACTCCATACTATTATAGACATGTAACCATTTACAACCTCTAACAACATTTCAACATGAATACTCATTGTCTGCCACACGCCGCTAATTTTCGTCATTTTTACAATTCATTTTCTTTCGTTTTCTTACTCATCCTCTAAGAGAAGTCAAACTTCTAACCCGACGATATTCCTTTTCCTTCTTCTTCTAGATATGATGAATGGGCCACTAAAATTCAACAAAATCTAGACCGTGGTAACTATTTTCCATCACTCACTCAATATAAATCGGATTATCCACCGCTTTCGAAATTTATGCTACAAAAATTGAAAGATTTCTATCTTTTGATTTGTTTGAGTTAAATTTCCATATGCAGATAACTAAAACAACCGACCAAAGATCCTTTGGAAAGATCGAAATCTAGATTATAGGGTTCCACTATATATAACTCACACCCTCACCCTCGTCCACCCACCCGAGATGCAAAGACTAGATAAACTCTACATCGAAACACAGATGCGTTTTGCAGAGTGGTTTTAACAAATTTTACAGAACACTCCAAATCTTCATTACTTGTCATCCACTTTTCGCATGTGATTTATTTGCATCTTTTGTAATTGAACAAATCTCTTGTATAATTCAAACTTTTTTCTATTCATTTATTGTTTGCAAATATAAGTACAAGTTTCTTTTCGAATTTTTCTGCAGATTAATTTTTTGTTTAGCTTCTTCAATCTATATTTGTTTATATTCAATCAATATTCAGTTGTTTTTTCTTTTCTTTTATGCAGCTGATCGTTCTATCCTTAGCGTGTCTTTACATCATAGAGAAATAAAGAAATACAGTTTGTATTATATTAGAAAGTATTTTTCTTGACTAAAACAAAGAAAAACAAATATCAAATTGATAATATATTGTGATATTTTCAGTCGAGGGTAATGCGAGTCACTCCCGACGAGCGTTATTTATTTCTAATATTCTGGTTTGTCTTTATCTAGTTTGCCAATTGTCCGTCTTGATGTGCTCATATGTATATCAATGTTTTTTTTCATTTTTCTATTAACAACTGTAAATATCTAGCTCTTCCAATGAAGTATTATTTATCAATAACATATCCCTCCTCGTATGAAAAAAACCGAAATCATATATACGGAATAGTCTAAATAAAGCATCTGCTTTTGTTTGTATTGTACATTTTAAATCTGTTTTCACACCGATTACCATAATGAATAACGATTATGTGGATTATTCTATATTACAACCTATTCAAAAATCAAACACTATACGAAATCACAGTAAATTTCTTTCTATTACTATCGAAATATTTTTCTTTCAGAAAAGGGTCAGCGAATCCGCAGGATAAGCGTTACTTGTTTTGTAGAGCTGCCTTTTACAGTGTAGTACTCACCCTCACACTTTAACCATCTCTTCTTTACATATCTTTGAAATCGGTGTTGTTTCATTAATAACACGTCCTTTAAGAGCTTCTCAAAAACGTTTTATTTCGATTTCTTCTAGTTCAAGAAGATGGTTATGGGATTCATTTGATTGCTCGAAGTTACAACTGAGGCCCGTATAAATATCTGCACCGTAGTTTTTTAGTTTTACAAATCCAATCAATTTTCGTTGATGTTTTCTTGTCAATTTTGTGAATAAAACCTTCTTTTACTAACATACAATTATCCTAACTAGAAGAAATAATGAACATGGTGCTTGTTTCAGTCATTGTACGATTAAGATCAGATGGATAAGAGGGAAAAACTGTATACATAAATATTTAAAAACGATTGAAGTCTATATATGCGATCATAAGACGATGTGTTCTTTTTTTTCCTATTATTTTAGAATATTCGACTTCAGATTGACTAATTTCGAAATAAGTGTCCTGTAGTACATACACCCTGGACAGGAAATTTGAGCAGCAAAGAAATAGAGACTATTTTATTCGATACTTCGAAACTTTCGACATTTTGTATCGTCGATATTTTATTCTTCGACTTTTTCTATATTCGACATTGCGTTTTTCGGCATTTATGCAGCAAATCATGACCATCATCGATGTGAGCTTTTCAGACCCGCGCTAGATTCCAAAAAAAGTTTTATTTCTCAGATCGCACTTTAATTCTGATCTAGATCACTACGCAATTACCTGAGCGAGTTATATTCCTCTTCATTGGTTATTTTTATTCATTCAATGAAGTGTATAATCAAATGAGAAATGTTATTGATGACTCTCACAATTGATACCAGTATATCCACTGAGGCAGACACAAATATACCGATTTTCATTAGAATAACATTTGCCTTGATTTCGACATGGTTGACTGACACAAGGATCTCCATCTAAAATGAATATTTCTACGAATCAATGGGAGCATTGAAAGAGACACGAGCTATACCAATTTTTTTGTCACAAAAAGCACCAATGTAACCAGTTTTACATTTACATCGAATAATAATCACTTCATCAAGCTTTTGCACTATTGGGTTACCATTTTCACCACAAGAGCTACAAAGATCACGACAGCCTACATCGTCAGAATGAGTTTTTGTGTCATCCTCGAATAAGCGATCAGAACTAAAGATCGTTTACTTTGCTTGACTTTTTCACATCTTTCTCCTTCATAATTATTCGGACAAATACAATGTAATTCTCGATCTTTACCATAACCTGTTCGATAACACGTACCACCGTTTTCACATATATTGCTGGAACATGTCGACCCTTCCAAAATATCATCGTTTGTATTATTCTAATAAAAAAGAGAATCGATTACCGTATTTATGTTCTTGACATTGTTCACCAACATAATCAGAAGGACAAAAACACTGAACTTCATAATCTTTTCCATAACCAGTTTGATGACAAGTTCCACCATTTTGACAAATATTTTCACGACAAGGAGGTCCTTATAGGAGAAAAGAAACCTTTTTCTAGTCATATCTGTTTATCTTACCTAGGCGAACTTCTTCGCATCGACTGCCAGAATAAAAACTTGGGCATTCACAGTACGGCCAAATCGTGGAGTTAATTTGATACATATAACATGTTCCACCGTTTAAGCAGTTATTGGAGGTACACAGAAGGCGTTCTGAATATGAAAACCAAAGAGATTATTCTTCGAAATCAAGTATTCCGACCAACCACCTCGAGTTTGAACGGCTTCGTTCGTTCGTTGTCCAGTAGTAATCGATGAACAGCAGTAAATAAGTACAAGAAATCGCCAAAGACTCGACATTAGGCCAAACAGAAGCTTGATCAAAAACGCTTTTCTTTTTTTCTGCAGGGATATATATATATATAATTTTTTTTTGGTGGAAACTGATCCCAGTGATCAATCACACCAAGAAATTCGAAACTAACTTTCTGGTAATGAAATAGCAATATGATTCCAATCAAATTTTAATTAAAAACAACTATCCCGAGACGTATCACAAGAGCAGTGGTGATGATATTAATCCATATCACGCAAACAGATCGAAAATCATCAGTCTAACACCAATTTTCACTGAATCTGTGTGATGCGGATAATTGTCTAGATCTGAATTTCCATCTTCTCATCTTCAACATGGTCTATATCTATATTCATGGTACAAAGGATGCTTATGTACGTGAATTTTCTGAAGTAACGTACGTTATGATGCATTATTTACTCTAGTAAATCAACGGATAGAATTACATGATAGTACAGTATAATCGATTAAAAATTTTCACCTATTATAATCTGTTGGCAAGCAGTTGGTGAGAGTATGGATGAGAAAGTAACAGTCGCCGTCACATTTCTCATCCTACTCACTCTAAACAAGGAAAAAGAATGATTTCACTTTTCATTTTTTATCATTTCTCTTCATTATTTAAACCTGCCATGTAGAAATAATGTTGTTCAAGGTTTGATTGGATATAAAGTGAACAGCACAAATATTCATGATTGAATCGATCCTTGATTTGCACACCCTTGATTTTTTCTTTTTTCCGTCTGGGTGTATTGCTTTCGTCTAGTGATCTATTCTTTTCATTCCATGAGATATTCCAACATGTCACTCGTCGTGTACATATACAAGTGACCGTTTCCTTTTCAAGACGAAGATCAGTTGTGTATACATTATTTGTGGTTTTTTATACCGTTGTTTATTATGTCTACAAAAATGACTATAGAGCCTATTTCCTTTCTTTGATCGGACTTCACGACGCGACACAGTCGATCAGATCAACTCAATAAAAATAAAAGAAATAATACTACTTCTGCAAAGAAAAAAGATCGACTTCTTATCACACAGTATCGTGTGATGGTGATGATTTTGTGATAGAAGAGATACCTGCGCTGACGTTACTGCGCTCATCTTTGTTTCTTCCGCTCAATAATCGCATCATTCTAACACAAAGCACACATATACACACTCATCTATCGACAGAAAACAGAACAGGTAATATCAAAGTATAGAAGTTGCACCTAAGTAAGAACAGACAACATGCGTACAGCGTATGCTAGTGAGAACGGCACAATATACGCTATCTGTTATCATATGATGATCGACGTTTTGAAAAGAATCACAGTTTCATTTTTGTAGTCTTTAAGAGACGGTCCATGAAAAAATCGAACTTTGCCAAAACATGGGGGTCAACCGATTTTGGATTTGACCCCCTAGGAAGTTAGGTAACATTGACCTATATATGAATCCAGAATATTACGGCCTAAAGATTTATTATAAGGAAGATAGGATATACNAACTGTGATCGACATCGTTCGTTTCTTATTTTCTTTTGTGTCGTATTTACTTTCAATAAACCAATCACTATCAATTACGAGACGACTTTATATAGAAACTGTTAGCTTATCCTTACAATCCAAAGACTCCTGCCCACTAGACGTTAATAGGCGGAACGGAAGGTAACGGAAAAGGCTGATGATCTGTATCGGTTCCGTTAGTGTGTGTGTGGTTGTCCTACTTCGGGTTTCGAGGAATAAGTGACGTGATCGAGGTCTTCTTGATAACGTTTTATTGATAAACGACGAGAGAAGAAAATAAGAAACGAACGATGTCGATCACAGTTCAAAGACAACTGCCTCTGTCTGATCTTACAAGTTCAAAGAGAGGTCAGACAGGCGGCATAGAGAGAAAACCAGGGAGAGAGAGAAAGGAGATCCATATATCATGGCATCGAACCGCACATAGGACATATAGATCTGAACAAAAAGAAAAAGGAAAATAAAATAAAATAGCACTAACAAAGTACTATCTGTTATCGCTAATAGAAACTCATCTGTCTTACATACATGATTAACATCCTCTAATTAATTATATTGGCGACGAATTGTCTGTCCACCGACGTCTTTTTCGCATATACGGTATCTGTATGTTCTAGGATAAATTACTATATCTAAGTATCGTTCACATGCCTGATCTTTTACTTATCACACTTACTATACGTGGTATAAATATCAGACTTAGCCGACAATCTTTTATATAAAAAACAAAAAACAAGAAAATCATTTTTCCTTACTTTTGGGACACTCTGTATATTTAGGGAAAACCCTTTATAGTAACTTCGTCTTATCTGACTTTTACTTAACAAATTGGAAAAGAGATGATGGTATTAGGTGTATGTATAGTTAAAGAGATTTGTCTCGTCTTCTATACAATAGTAATTTTTTACATAAAACTCATAGTAAAGCGCTTTTTAGTGCTGTTTTGAGTAGTTTTATGCGCCCATCTCGTCGATCTATTTCTTCTTACATTTAAGCTCGTATTCAAGAAAGAATGGAAATCTTTCAATATGGCAGATTTGATCGTAATAATCGACCGCCTCCAGTTCTCGCGAAACATTTTCAAAATAATCATATTGTTCCAACTGCTGCTCAAAAACTTGGTTTTTTCAAGCTTTTCCCCATTATTTTCTTCGACATTATCGATCATTTGCCGACATTTATTTTATATGAGTTATTAAGAGAAATCTTAGATTTGATCGTGTCTAATCCTTTTCGAAAAAGTTGGTTACCTACACTTATTGAATTGTGTGATGCGTTTCATCAAACAATGTTAAATCGCTTTCCTGAGAAAATTACACCAAAAGTTCATTTGATTCGTGAATATCATCACATGGTAAATGATTTTGGTCCGGCAACAGACAATGGTGTTTCAGATATAAAGTACTTCATTCATACTTTAAGAAAACTATTGATAGAACTAATAATTTATAAAATATACCAACAGTGATCGTAACACGTTATTGTTTGAAACAATGTTTAAAGTTTGACTATTTATCACGATTAAATTGTTTACAATGTGTAATACGAATTAAAAAGATAAGAAATAGCACATGCTTTAATGTTTCCATGAAAAATCTTTTCTCAAAGCGTTTTGAAGAAATTGATCTCAATGATATCTTTCAATGTAATGCATTAATTTACGAAAACATTGAATATCGTCGATGTTGCATGTATGCTATTGACCTGATACAATCTCTTGAACAATCAATATTTGCCCAAATTATTTTTATTTTAAAAGTGAAAGAAAAAGCGTGCCAGCGCAGCCCCCTTGGGGCTGAAATGTGGAACTCACATACTTGTATTTGGAAATCGAGAGTGTGGATTAGAATAAAATACTTAAGAAGTAAGCTCACTTTTAGATCATCACTCTCAGGGTGATAGTATTTCTAGTAGCCGCAAAAGGTATAAGCAGATGATTCAGTTGAAGAATCAAATATAGAATTGACTGTCCTTAGTTTAATATAGAAATATTCGATCAGAATTATTTAGAATTCCAGACAATACGAGATTTCTGCGAGTAAAGTGCACGTTGGGCCATTTTCGCGTAATTTGAATAATACCGAGTAAGGTACGAATAGCACAGCCAAAAATAACGAATCGGTATTTGAAAAGGAAATATTTTTCCTTGAATAGTAAATAATAGAAATTTGAATACGCTGATAACATTTTTCTATGTTCCATAGATCTAATACTCTCTACATTTCTAATAGTTCTATAGGTCATACGACTACAATAATCGTTGCAGTACCTGCATCCTGTGTAGCGCCTGTAGTCCTGTAGAGCTGATATAGCGGCTTGCGGCCCATAGGGGGAGGGGGGTCCAAAGATCCTCGATACAGAACTTACACTCACTATTTTTCTTCGAGAAATAATGTGAGTTCCACAAAATGGTGGTTATTATCCGATATTCTTGAAACAATTTCATACAACGAAAAATTATTTTCTTGGCAGATACAGTCAACAGACCAGTACTCCATTATTGATCCAAGCGATATAAAATATTATTACAAAGGATTATATATTTATATCGTGAACAACTTTAGCTATGCTTCATTTGTTTCAAGTTTTACATTGCATTAATGTTGAATGAATGCATAATATTTCAGACATGAATTCTCATATATCCCCCAGAAAAAAATAGCTAGACTCGGTATTTTCTTTATTTTGTTACTATGAACTGATATTTTGAGAAAAATAACTATATATTCGGATGGCCCGTGGAGTTCTCTACAAATCTATATATATATGCCTTTTTAATTGCATTTGTCTCTTGAAAATAAATTGAAGCGCATTAGAGGCACCCTCATGATCAGATTCCCCGAAAGTTCAATTGTCATTGATTTTTTCAAATTTATTTCATAACTTGAACAGTATCTCATGGCTCTCGTTATGGCTACAAATGGTATGTTCTTTTTGATATGCTCAGCATGTATACTTGAGAAAGGCAGAAGATATGGCTCATGTGATGGTTTATCGAATACATCTGATACCAATTTTCCTCCTCTATTTTCAAGTTTAACGTCTAGATACTATGCAGATGCACCAATAGATTCGTGAAGTTCGATATTAATATCGAGTCTATTCCACATGTAACGCTCATCCTTTGGATTCGCTGACCCTTTTCTGAAAGACTTCTCCGGATGCTGAACACATTCAGAGACTTCGAAAGAGAGAAAACGCACTACGATTGCTACTAGTGCCCAACTAAATCATAGCACTATGTCACACACTAGAATGAATAGGATGCAAAAGTCTTTTTAGGAATCAGACCGATTAGCCATTTGTCAGTGGATAATTCTCCAGCACTAACTATATTGACTGAAAAATTCATCGCTCAACGGCTAGCCAGACGGCCAACCATTGACATTTGCCATCTGTTTTTCTATTTTCACATCACGCCCATGGAAATTTTCATAAATGCTTTACTAAGCCACTCATAGACGGACGATATACGGTAGACTACTTGAAAAGTTTGAACGTTCGCCTGTATCTTCCGGCGATAATCCGATTCTTTTCTTTCCTGTCAACAAAATGATGCCTTGTCGAATATTTTCATTGAGGAATATCCATTCGTCAAATCCCTTTCAAAATTATCGGAAGCCTGGCAAGGTTATTCAAAGCGTACACTTTAGGATTAATCTAACATTTAAACGCCTAGTCGGTCACTCATGGCTAGCTGTTGCCATGCTATCTCTGTTATTCCTTTCGCCTTTGATCAACTTGCAAACTGAACGGTTGGGTTTTCTTTTGTTGTCACGTCGACAGTCATGATCTTCTATTCATTCGACTACCCAAAGAAACTAGATAAGAAAGTCTTATTGTATGATTTGCTTCGAAACGAACATCTTTCATAGCGCTGCATGTGTTTAGAATACTGTTTCTACAGTCCACGTGTCTGTAGTTACTAAGATGGAATTCCACCGACGGGTATATCGCTTTGCGAACCACTTCTACTAAATTCCCATGTAAGAGCATGATGTATGTAGCCTATAAAGCAAAGATGATACTAAGCTCACGTCACTTTTTCGGATTTCTTGAATTAGAAACATCATTATGTACAATGCATTAGATATTTTCCTGTAAGTTCTTGAGCTACTATCTTTGTACGCATGACGTCCGTGAATAGCGTTCAGCTCACCATCTTCTACAAAAGATTTTAGAACAGATAAAGAAAAGCAACTCCTTTGTAAAGAGGAAGGAACAAGCGCAGGCTCACCGAATAAAGCGAAATTCACTCTCAAATTCGAGTGTCCCGACGTCAGAAATCCTTCGGTCTACTCTGACAATGGATGGTAATAAGTCGTGGCTAGTTAATGACAAAATAATAATTAATTAAGAAACACTAACCTCGGATTCGTGATCCTCGACCTGGATTACCTCAGGTGAATCATTTCCGTATGGTTATCTCTAAGGTTTCATTAGTTTATAAAAAGCTGCAACCTGATTGTATTGGACAAACTCACAAACTTCTAGGTTTTGAGCCACCGATTTTAGAATGCTATAACCCTTTCTTTCAGAAAAGGGAACAAGCACTAACCCCATCTATACTATCGTCAGATATCACCGGTCTATGGTGACACTAGCCATTCGCCGCATTGTTTCTCAGTCACCCAATTCAATATTGCAACATTCAAAAGCGTATGAACGGCAGTTGGCATTAAAACGACTACATAGGTTTATCTATGATCTTTCGATGACTATGAAGTCAAAACCTACCTGATGATGATCCCTTAAGCAAGGATCGAAATTGGGATCGTAGTAATGCTTGACTCACCCACCCTCACACTCTCAACTCTGTAGTAATCAATTGAGTTTCTTCTCTATTTACAAATGGAATTGACGTCAATATATTTCCAGTATTTATTCTATAGAATATGACTTTTTCATTTGTATTTCAAAAAAAACATTTATTTATTGATGAAGAAATCATATAGTCCTCGTTATCAGACATTCACTGGAAGAGATAGACTTTTTTCTTTTTTCTCGTTGAAGAATTTTCCGAAATTTAAATCTGTGTGAAATTTAATGGAAAATGGGCATATTTCCGATCGAATGAGACGAGAAAGAAAATAAATGTTATATATAACGAGAGAAGAAATAGTTAGCTTCATTTTATTTTATTTTACTTATTATTTGTTAAAACAAGAAATTGAGAAAAAATACTTTCATTTTGTTTCTAATGATATTCAATGATCATTGGTATTTGCTGATCATTTTAATGATCATTGAACAATTGTCAGGTAGAGATTAAATTCATTTTTTCATTTATGACTATTTATATTTAATAATTTCTTCTTTAGCGATTTCATATAATCAACCGAAATTTGATTCATATGATACTTGGAGTGCGAATGCTATTACTTTTGCCACTTCAGCTGTAGTTGGTTATGGCCCATTTGGGATTTTTATTGATATTAATGACACAATTTATATTGCTGATAATACAAATAATCGAGTTCAAATATGGTTAAAAAATAGTGCGAATCCAATACGAACAATATCTGGAGGATTAGCATCACCATTTTCTCTTTTCATTACAGATAATGGTGATATTTATGTTGATAATGGAAATGTTAATTATCGAGTAGATAAATGGTCATTGAATTCAAGTACTAGCGTACCTGTCATGTATGTTAATTCAGGATGTCGTGGTCTTTTTATCGATATTAATAACACACTGTATTGTTCATTACATTCCCTTCATCAAGTGATTAAAAAATCATTGAACAATATTTCAAATGTAACAATTTGTGTGGCGGGTACAGGAACTTCGGGATCTGCAGCGAATATGTTGACTCAACCCTACAATATTTTTGTTGATCTTAATTTTAACTTATATGTAGCAGATTTTGGAAATAATCGAATTCAGTTATTTCAATTAGGGCAATCTAATGGTATAACTGTAGCAGGAAATACATCAGTGAATACCACTATTACATTAAGTCATCCGAGTGGAATCGCACTTGATGCTGATCATTACCTTTTTATTGTTGATCAATACAATCAGCGAATTGTTGCATCAAGTCAAAATGGTTTTCGATGTTTAGTTGGATGTTATGGACAGATTGGTTCAGCATCAAATCAATTATATTATCCAATGAATCTTGCTTTCGATACTTACGGAAATATTTATGTTACAGATTATGCAAATAATCGTATTCAAAAATTTATCCTTCTGAACAATTCGTATGGTAAATAAAAACTTATTTTCTTTTCCCATAACTATTCAATTCTAACATAGGTAAAACAACATCATTCATAAATCAGATTACAAGTACAGCAACAACAGCAGTGACAACTGAAATACCAACATCATCTGCCATAGATTCTATAACAAGTACAGCGATGAGAGTAACTTCGTCAAATATCAATATGAATGGAAGTAATAATTTGTGAATATATAAAAAATTCTCTCTATATATAAATATCAATTATTTTAGCTTGTTTTCCTCCTAAAGTAACAGTTATACCTGGATCATCATCATCATTATCAATTCCAATAGAATTTCGACGTAGTCAATCATTTTCTATAAGTTCATTAATTGAAATCAATTGTAATGATACATTATCAATGAATACAAAATGGACAATAAAGAGTTGTAATTTAATAAATTGTTCATATTCAATAGAATTAGATCCAACAATCGTAACAACATTTAGTGAAATATATATTGCCGCACGAACTCTTCCTTATGGAACATATGAATTCAAATTAACTGTAAATATGGTTAATTTCTCAAATACAACAACAAGATTTTCTTCAATATATATTCGAATAATCTCATCAAATATTATTGTTAATCTTGTTCAATTGGGTACATCAATGATTACAAATGGAAATGAACAAGATTTACAAATTGATCCTGGACAATATTCTATTGATCCTGATGAAAATATGTTCAATATTAGTGTAAGTTTATTTCGTAAATATACATAAAAAATGAATATATTATTTTATATAGAATTGGAATTATCAATATTATTGTCGAATATATGATGAATATCAATTCTCAATTCTCAATTATTCATTGAATTCATCATGTTTATCTGATGGAAAAGGACGGCGATTTGATAATTTATTCAATTCATCATTAACAATTCTCGCTGGTACATTACAAATCAACCAAACATATCAAGTTCTGGTTCGATTGACTAATTATCAAAATTCATCAATTCAATTCATTGGATATTTAATTGTTAACATTGAACAAAGTATTTCATTACCAACAATTTTCATCGGGTAACTATTTCTTTCTTTTTTTAATACAATCCATCATAAATATCTCATAAATAACTAGATGTGTAATATCATCAATGTGTATATCAAATAATATTGAATATCAATACGTTAATCCAACAACACAATTATCATTATATTCTATATGTAATCAAAATTGTCAATTAAATCAATATAATATTACATGGAATATTTATTATGCTACTCAAAATTTATCTGTTAATAGTACAACATGGGTTTTATTTCAACAAACAAATTTATATGAAGATATTTATATTTTTGGTAGAAATGCAAGTAATATTACTGTATTAAAGGAATTCTTTTCTGAAAATTTTCAAAAAACAATTTGGAAATTTGAAGTTGTTTATCAATTTGAAAGTGAAATAAGTATTAGTTCATTAAATTTTCTTCTTAATCAACCACCATCAAATGGTTCTTGTTCTATTAATCCTTTAAACGGTACGACAACTACATTATTTCATATAACATGTTTCAACTGGTTTGATAGCAATGGGATTAAAGATTATACTCTCTATGGTAGATTTGCTTTTATAGATCGAAAAATAATCTATTTTATTTTCTTTAGTTTGGAAAAATGATTCATTAGAACGACAAATGATTGCTTTTTCAATGATTTCAACATTTGATGTTTATTTACCAATAGGAGATAATGAAACATCATTAATTAATTTAGTAATAGATATTCAAGATGAATTTAATTGCTTAATTGAAGTGAATATCTCATCAGTTAATGTTATATCTGATGGAATCTTAATTGATAATATTACAGAAAATCCAATGAATAAATTACTTTCAAGTGAGAATCAAAATCTGATTGCACAAATAATAATATCAATTTGCGAAGAATTAAATCAAATGAATAAGAACTCGTTTATAGATTTATCTGTTTCGTCATTAGATACAAAATCTCAATCAGAAATCTTAGTAAATCAATCAATGTTAAATGCATATATAAAACAATTAAATTCTCATTCAATTCTTCGAGAATATCTTATTCAATTTCTTATACAATTTCCTATAATAACATTGAATAATATTAAATTACAATCATCAATACTATCTCAATTAACACAAAAAACAAATGAATTAACACGAATGACATTAGTAAAAGAAAAAAAAATTGCTTTTTGCTTTTTTTTATTAAGAATTTTCTTTTAGGAAATCATATCAAATCGATGTTATCAATTAGCATCAATGTTAAATACAATGAAAACAGAAGTTTCATACGAAGATGTTCAATTTATATCAGCAAATCTTCTTCAATGTTCTTCTAATCTACTTACTGTAATTAATTAACCGGAAAAGAATGTCATTTCTAATTCGAAATCACATTGTTTTCCCTTCAGAATATAAAACACCATTTCGAATATTGCATTAATAGGTATTTTTTAAAATCTATTTAGAGTGTAAATGGACCATTACAAGGAAGAACAAGAGTTTTAGATATAGATTTCACTCGAGCGACAACATTTCCTGTTGATTATGATACAAATCTTGATTTCGATTGGGCTAATCTTAGTAAGTTATTTTCTTTCTCCCTCTTTCTCTATGGAATCAAATTGTATTTCTAGATTTATTTTCTGATGGTAATGATTTTTCATGGGAAACCATCGAAAAAAATCGAAATCTTTATTATCAAAAACAATTATCTAATCAAATTACAAATCAAATGAATAAATTACTAAGATTATTAACTTCAACCTTAGTTATTCATTTAAATATTGAACAAACTTTTCAAATTAAAACATCACAAATTTATATGTCATTAGAAGTTAAATCCAGTCAATTTTTTTCAAATTCATTTACGAAACAAATTCAATATGGTCAAATTAAATTTCCTAACAACTTCAAATCTTATTTGAATAAAACTGGAAAAATTTTCATTGAAATAAATTCATTTAGATATATTTTCACTTAAAATATAGTTTTTTTTCCATAGTCAATAATTGAACCATTAGCACCATTTGGAAATTCAACATTATTATTCAATACAAATTATTCTCGATTAGTATCATTTACATTATTGGATCAAAATTTCAATGAAATATCAATAAAATCAATGAGGAATCAGTCAATTCAAATAATTATTCCTCGTGATCAAAATTTAATTATTCCGCCAATGATTTTTCAAAATGTTACATCGATGAATTTAACATTTCATTATCATTATTTAAATATATCTTCATTAATTTCGATATCAATTCATTGGCAAATTCAACCATTAAATGAAACAATTGCTTATTTATTTCTATATAAATTTGATGGAATACCACAAATCAATCAAATTGACGGATGGACTATTTTTTGTCCTAAAAATTTACTAAATAATAATATTTATGAATATTTTATTGATAATCAACAAACATTAAATCATCAGTATCTTATATTTGCTTTACAAGAATTAAATTCAACAGAAATTATTGAAAGATGTTCAAATTCTTCAACATTTATTGATCCTCCAATTCGAGATAAACCATTTCAATTTACATCGAATTATCAATTTAGAGTTTATACATCATCTTGTTATTATCTTGATGAAAATAATCAATGGAAAACAGATGGATTAATAGTTGGCTCATTAACAAATCTTAATCAAACAGAATGTTATTCAAATCATTTGACAAGTTTTTCCGGCGCTTTCTCCATTTATCTAACCCCCATCGATTGGAAATATGGATCTACTAATAATGATGATTTGACAAAGAATATAAATATTAATTCACGTTGTTATTATGAAAACGATCATGGAAAAATTGAACGAAATTTTATCATTGGCAAATCAATTTGAGAAAAAAGAATTTCCAATATTTTCTCCATCAGCATCTCAACAATTTCCACGTATTCAACAATGCGAACAATATTAGAACTCAATCGAACAATTATTTAATGTTTTTTTGTGATTTGTATTGTTTGTCGCATATTATATATGTAATTATTCAATAGATATTTTAAAAATAAAAAAAAAAAGAGTAATTATTCTCGCCTTTTTTACCGTCATATTATTAAAACAAGATCGTCTGATACGTCATATTATAAATAGATTCAAAGAAAGGAGTATTTTCACATGCTGAAAGATGAAGTTTACTAATAGAATCAATCAAAAATTTTACAGCAATATTTTCCGTCAATCTTTATTGCCCAAGCAGTCAAGGTTTTCGAAAAACGCGTGTAAATGCAGGAAAACACTAGTTTTATAGTGTTTACATGCATGCAGGATAGAGTGGACATGTAAACACGAAGAAACTTTCCTTCTGAGTTTGATCACGGCTGAAATTTTCTCGAGTATGATTAACAAACGTGTTTGCTACAAGAAAGTGCGCTGTTATGTCGTTTTATCGTTCACTTTTCTACATGAGCTTATAAACATGTAGAAATCTGAGATACTTCGCGTTTAATTTTACAGTTATAAATGTTGAGAAGTCTGCCATAAATAATGGTCGTGTGTATGCTTAATAATTACGATTTTATACTGACTATCTTTCATAAATTTTTTCTCGTACTTTTCTAGGAAATTTTAGCGTGTTAGCAATGAAAAAGTAAAAACAATATGTGTTTTCATAAATTAAATTCGTATTTACAAACATCGTACAGTTTTCACTTGACTTAGATCTGCAGAATATTAAGTTCTGTTAAAAACATGCGTGTATAACTACGCAAACAGTCAAGATTTGGAAAAAGACGTGTAAATGCTAAAAAGGTATAATATTTCAGAGTTTAAACGCGTGTCGTAAAAAATGGCCACGGAAACAGATATTTGTTGTGTTAATGTTTATACGAGAATTTTTCCACCATTATAAAGTGATGTGTAAATAGACAAAGTATCACTTTTTATAAGGTCCCATTGCTCTGTTTTTAATAAGCGTGTGTAAACGTTGGAATACCTTAGATACTGCGTGTTATAAACTCAATAGCTTTTTATAAGAAAAATTCTGTTGTAAATAATGACCATATTAATACTCAGAGACCTCGACTTCATGTACTTAACTTAATTTTTTTTGCCTTCTGCCGAGAAATATCAGCGTTCTAATGTTAAAAACGGAAAAACGCATAAGTATATTTGTAAATTCAATTCGTATTGATAAACTTTATAAGCCTTCTATTCGTGATACATGCCTACAATCATAGGCTTTGTCAAAATGTACGTTCTCGGCCAATAAATACTCCGCATAAGTGCGCTTTAACGTGTATGAAAAAAAAACTTTCAAATCAATCGTGAAAAATCATCACTGTTATTGATTTAGGACATATTTTCCATTATCTATATTTTTAGAGTATGCGAACATATAGAATACTGATAAATTTTTTATTATTGTATATTTTTCAATACGGTTTTCAAAGCCGTTATTTATAAGTGCATTACGCGTGAGTTGCCTAATTCGACTTAGATTATAAACGGATACCCAACAGACTAATATCAATTGGAGCATAAATAGATACTTATCAACGTAAAAGTATAGAAAGCATTCAGTTATAGTCACACTCTCACCCTCACCTTATATCTAAAACTACTCCTATCTATATCTAGATAAGGATTAATGTCATAGGAATGGGGCACTCATATTATAAGTCGAATTAGGCAGCTGCGCCATCTGAACTTGTTTGGCTTTCAATTGTCTCAGTTGAGAATAACATAATTTTTTGAAGTAAACTGGTTCTGGTGAAAATGATTTTGATCTGAATTAAATTTTAATCGGCCCTATACAAGAAATACATATATATACTTCACACTTGGAATGCAACTATGATTTAAATAAGTGATATTAGAAGTTGGTTTGAATATAAAAAGATCAATTTTATGTAGAAAAGTGAGAAGCCGAAGGTTTAAAAAGTACGTCTTGACTAATAAAACGAATGGTTTGGTATATTATCGCTTTAACATGTGTGAATGAACAGAGATGCACAAATACAAAATACAAATTGTACATTGAATTTACTACCAACTGTTTTGATCCTACAGTATTGTATTCAGTATATCTATATTATGATATACTATCGTGTAGTGTCATGTACTGGCACTATTTTGGGTCTTCAATTTTCTCTACACTATAATGCTAAAGTATTTTAGCGTTGAAGATCACTGCTACAACCCTCATAACTTCCATCCTCTGGCTCGATAAAATGACAGTACAAATCAGTAAAGCTACGCTGTCTTCGTTGGTACATCTTGAATGTAGGGAGTATAGAGTACAAGAAATGCTTCTGTTCACCGAATAAACCAGAGTACAAAACGCAATGGTATTTGCGCAGCCCTCATATGAAGTTAAGCATTTTCTATTATCATTTAGATCCATATCGATATTTCATTAAAAGTGAGATACTTTCAAAGTAACATATCGAACATTTATTGTTACCATTTAGTTCGTATTGATGTGTAATTAAAGGTGAGTTGTGTTTGTAATATCACATTAAAGATTTCTTATTGCCGTCTAGGTTCTAGGTTGATATCGATATCTAATTAAAAGTAGGTCATATTTCAAATACGAAATGAAATATTTTCTACTATTATGTAGGTTCATAGCCATATTTGATTAAAGGTGAGTCATATTTTAGATCTTAGATTAAATATTTCGTATTGTCATTTAGATCGAGATCGAAATCTTACGAAAGGTTAGTTACATTTTATATAGGAAGTGAAATATTTTCTTCTTTTATATTTAGACTGATCTTTACCGCAGACAAATCTTAAGTGGGATGTTAGAAATAAAAACAACCACTTCATCTTTATATCTAAGTTGATTTGTACACGTAATCAAATACTTTTCTGTTGTAGGCGATGTGTTTTCGCATTTTCTTTTTCTGAACGTGCACGTCTGATAATCGGGGTTCCTGATGGTAGTCGTAAAACTTCTTGAAAAACTTGAGGAAAATGGATGTTACTTTTTTGGAACGTGTACGATGCGAAAAACTGACATGATGTTAAAGTATTGCGTTTTGACGGGTATTTTTTATGTCAGTTTTCGGATGCTGGTCGTGGTTCCCGATCAGGTATTGCAAACGCTCATGAGTTATTAGCGATGAAACGATGTAAGTTCCTTAGCGTTCATTTCAATATAAATTACATATAGATACTCGCCGCATATATCAGCGACTTAGAAATTAAGTCGTGTTTTGATCGCCTTTTTTATGTGTTTTAAGGTGATCATCGGGAACCACGACTGACACCCAGACACGGTCGAAAAAAGCTACAGTTTACACGCGTTTTTTCAAAATCTTGACTGCTTGGGAAGTTTGGTCGACTGCTTCAATATTTAGAAAAATGCACAGAAAGTGAAGATTATTTTGATGTTCTGCATTCGGTAGTTAATCGAATCAAAGTGGTAAATCTTCATGGGAAGTTTTTCAAATTTAGTTGTTGTGTGTGATTTAGATGGATCTGTGCAGGATGTCGTTGGATTTTTATCCAAACGATTCTTTTAACGAGCGAGTACATGTTGTTGATAGCATGGCAAAGGAATATTTGGAAAAGGCAGCAATGGATGTTCGACATCTTATTCCAGCAGACGTTCCAGGTGATGGTAATTGTCTCTATCACTCTGTTCTTCTCGTGATGAATAATTCTGTAATGACAACGAGCGAGTTAAGAGGTAGAATTAAGCTTTTAGAAATACATTGATTTGTAAAGAGCAATCTTTTTTTAATGTTTAGTTCGCACGATTGTGGAATTGATAACGAATGAAACATATTATTCGAGTATGTTAGCTCCGTTTATTGGTCCTTTGGATGAAGCTGTTAAAGGTGTGTGCAAAAATTACACATATTCGGAATTATACGAAATTAGTGCTCTATGCACAGTAGTTGGCTGTAACATAAGAAGCATTTATCCTGAAATTGACTTTAGAATCGATATGACTATTATGAATAGTGTTTTTACGCCGATTTCACCGGTTATTGGAAAGTATGAAATCAAAATTTTATGGTCAAGCCTCTGCAGTGAAAGGATTGTTCGGGCAATGAATAATAACAAATGGAGTCCTAATCATTTTGTTCCGTTGATGTCATCAAACATGCAGCATGAATATGTCGGTCGTAGTCAAGTACAATCAACCAACAAAGTGAGTGTCATTCTTATATACATGGATTTAAACTATATTCTATTTTCTACAGACACCGGAAAAGAAAACAACGAAGAATAATATTAACACTCATGTACGAATTCCTGAATTTCAGTCTTCACCTAGTAGACGTTTACGTAGTGAAACTAGCACAAGTAATGATCTTGTTCAAATTATTAATACAGATGCAATGGAACAAATGGAAATAGAAAAAGAAAGAGAAGGGCAGCATGAAATGCGACTTGCGACTTTAAGAGATCGTGCTCGTTCAAGACGAAATAGCGAAACAGATGCTCAGCGTCAAGATCGACTCAGAAAAGATCGAGAACGAGCTGGAGCTCGACGAGTTAGCGAAACACAAGATCAACATCGAGAACGACTGGAAAAGAAAAAAGATTACGTCCGAACAAGTCGAATGACCGAATCACAGGAACAACGCCACAGTCGACTGGAACACAAAATAGACTACGCCCGAACAAGTCGAATGAACGAATCAGAGAAACAACGCCAAAGTCGACTGGAACAGAAAATAGACTACGCCCGAGCAAGTCGAATGAACGAATCAGAGGAAGAACATCAGATTCGGATCGATTGTCAGAGGGAACGAAGTCAAGCCCACAGAACCAACAAAAAATTGGAAAAACGGGCACTTGACAATCTTATGACACATGAACAAGATACCAATGAACGTGGATTTGGAAATAGCATCTATAGCTATCCTGATGATAGTTCAATGAATGTAATTAGACGTAACTATAGTACAACAAATAGGAACGAAGGACATGATTCATCAACTTGGCCAACACCGATATCC